TAAGGCCTCGCATTACGAACGCGATGAGGATTTACATCGCGTCTAAATGTAATTCCGTCGCCGTAGAGGCTGTCGAGAAAAAACATTACATTTTTTCAAATCATCTCGATCGAAAACTCATTTCTTCACAACTGCTCCTTGTTGTGTCCAGTTCGCTGTCCTCCCCCCGCACCTCCGATTAGCGCGGTTGGCTACGTGCGGTGCGAAGGAAGTTCAACGTACCGTCCATACAGAATAGAGAAGGTCTTGATCCTGGACTTGAACAGGAGCAGAGGAGTCGACAGCACGGACGGGAATGAGTTCCACACCGCAGGCTGCCCTGCCGCCGTGTTTCCTTGCCTGCCTTGCTGCAATTGAGCACTTTGTCGAACTCTGAATAGCCCCGCAGTGCTCAATGCCGTAACTCGCTAACACGCAGCGACTGTCAATCGCTCACCGCTCTGGAATCGGAGTTGCTGGCTGTATCTGTACGTTACGTACGTTGAACTTCTTTCGCGCCGTACGTAGCCAACAATATCCGCTCGACCTTTTCCTCGGCAGCATTAAAATACGTTTTGGGGGGGGGGGGGGAGAAAAAAATGTGTCCGCATGTGTTGCGTAACCCTCTCCAGCGCGTGTTTTACCATTGAAGGTGTTACATGATCGATGGCGCGATGGCCGACTGTTCAGGGGAAAATTGCATTTGCATATTTGCAAATATCTCGCTCTGGTTCATGTCTCCAAGCATGGGGCAAAAGAGCCATTTGCTCAATTTGTCCGGTTTTCAGCGAGATAAATCCTGAACGGCAACACAACTTGCAATGCTGCAGGTTCGTTCATATAATGAATATTCTATATCCTTCGTTCATATAATGAATATTCTATATCATTTGGGGGTTTCTCTATTCGCATTTTGGACGTGTGGTACATTCCGACGGTAAACACGCGACCCCGCACTGCAGGTCGTGCGCTACTGCTGGTGGGATTTTATTGGCTTGGCTGAATTTTGTTTTTAAAAGAACCATGCGGTGGGGGGGGGGGGAGTGGACGCAGATGGGCGGGGGCTTTATTATATCGACTGTGACCTGAATGTCTGTCCTTAACGCTCGTGACGTCGCACCACGTCGACCAGCCCCCCCCCTCATGAATATTCATGAGCAGGTGACGTCCTCCAAATGGACACCCCCCCACCCCTCATTAATAATCATGACCAGGTGACGTCACTCCACATGGAGCCCTCTCCCCCCTTATTAATAATCATAATCGAGTGACATCCTCCAAATGGACCCCCCCCATTAATAATAATAATTAGCGGGTGACGTCACTCCACATGGGGGGGGGGGCGAGGCGCCTCCTCCCCCCTCCTCAGTGTCAACTCACAACCCTCACTACAAAGGGAGACCCCTCACGTCACGTGATCTCTGTAACGCTGTTGAGACATCGAAGTAAAAAGGACATAATGATGAACAAGGGATTATAACCTTGAAATGAATTATGTCTGTGTCACCGCGGCCTTACTAATTGCACGCGAATTGATGCAATGAATATCACGTCGCGGGCTGCTTTTCGCTTGCAAGTTTCAGATTTACTGCAGTACACCCGTCCTTGGACGGGCAAAAGGCGACTATTTAATATTCTTCTTTGCGAGAATTATCGTGGCATCCCCTCTCTCCCCTTGCCAGTGAACGTCTGGCTCCTCCTTGGACCACCTCATTCACGTTGCTCTTTAAGGATGGAGTGTGGGGCTTCTTTGGGGGAAGCTTTGCGGTGCTTCGTCGTTAAGTAGCAAGGGTTATAACTTCATGGTAGATTTTCTCAAATTGGTAACTAATTTCATCTAAATTGAAAACTCATTTCTTGAGAACTGTTTGTTGTGTTTAGTGTTTGTTGTCCTTCCCCCGCAACTTCGATTAGCACGGTTGGCTACGTACGGTGCGAAAGAAGTTCAACACACATACGTACACACGACTGATGGATGGACAGAGAGAATGCATACATGTCTATGACCATTTAAAAAAAGCTTCACACAGCACACAATGCATTACTAAGGTTTCAGCCTGTTAATTCGAGTGGATGTATTCTTTTGTAGAGGGACGCAGATATGTAAACATAATACGACTGATGTCTTGGGGGGTGTTACGGAACACCGCACAAGGCCAATTTCCCTTCAGAGATCTATATTTTGTTTGGTCACGCACAGCCACTCCCTCGACGTGACACCGGGCTGACCTGCTCCCTGCTAGGTCTGGTCCCCCACTGTGGCTCCCAGCTATGGGCTGTGGAATGAGGTGCAGGACTTTTGTCGGATTCTCAAAAGCTCGTACCAGTCAGTATCCGAGTACTGTGCTTCCATTTTTAGAGTGTAACGCGGTAAAAAAACATTTTTAAAGGTTATTTTACTTTTTTTAAAAATACCCCGTAGCATTAATTTGTTTTTAAAGGTTGAAAACGAAAGATTGGCTTGGGTGGCTCAGATGTCAGAGGTCGGAGTAAGGAGATTTCACCGCTGAGGTCCAACTTTTAAATCCAGGCAGCCACCTGGTGTGTGGGTCAGCGGTCACTTGAAGGGATCTCAGAAGTAGTTCTATGATATCCCCTTTAGCAGCCTGTTTTGGAACTCGCGGGATACAGTTCTCCATGACAGTGCCAAGTGGAGTCTTCGTTGCATGACATGACACCAGTAGCACAATTGGGATGACGGAGAAAATTAAAATATTTTTTTATGGAAAAAAACATGTAGAAGGTGAAAGTGGTAAATTATATTCTCATATTCTTGGTTCTTTCGGTAAAGTCACGTAGAAGGGAAACAATAAAATTATTAAAATATTTAAAAAAAATCTTGCTGTGGTTTTCACACCTGATGATGATTGCTTGTGTTGCAGTCGAAACGTCGTGAGAATTTTTTTGTTTTATATTTTGATTATTTTTTTGTTTCCCTTCTACGTGACTTTACCGAATGAACCAATAATGACAATTGTGCTGTTTAATTAACTCCGTGCATATCAGCAGAGTAGTCATAAAAACGATCAGGTCATCATTTTTTATTATCTAGCCACTAAGTAATTCGCAATCAGAGACTGATTCCCTTTAAGAGAAACCATCGCGAGAGTGTTGCTTTGCATGCAGCTCAGAATAATCTTAGCGCAGCGATTTCCGCTTTAAATAATAATAATAAAGGCAACTCCAGCGGCGCCGTAAACCCACTGGCAGCGGATTTTGAGCAGCGTGAATCAACGGCGCCTGTGCCCACCAACTTCACACCCTCCACTCCTGCCACCCTCGCCTCTACCGCCATGCCGTGGGTGGCACCAGCTCGCCACGCGTGGCACCACCTCGCCGTTGTTTGCACCTCCAATTTGCACGGTTGGCGACGTACGGTGCGAAATAAGTTCAACATATTTCGATTTAAAGCTTTCAGGGATTCATCTTCTTTGGCTCTTTCGGTAAAGTCACTGTCGTCCCGACAGTTTTGTTCCTTCACCTGAAGAAGGCTACTTGTGTTGTGGCCGAAACGTCGTGAGAATTTTATTGTTTTATCTTATTATTTTATTCTCATTCTACGTGACTTTACCGAAAGAACCAAAGAAGAAGTTCAACATACATGTTCTGAGAGGTAAAGTCTTTTTTTCTATATTTAAATGTCCTCATGCTTGTGGGGAGTTTTTATTTACCAAAACTTGTGTAGGGTTGACGATGGTGCCCCTTGAGTCGCGTCAAATGATCATAAAACATGGCTTTTTTTTGCATCTGCGCGTGTGTCTTTTCTTCTTGATTGCAAAGTGCACCGGCTTGGACGCTCTGCATCGTGAACGCTGTCCGGAAGCGATTTTGTATTGTTTCGTATTTGTTCAGTCGTCACTACGTCAGGGACACGGACACGAGGGGAGCTGTGGGCAGGTGTTTTGGAAGCTCGTAATGAACGTGCCATTCTTCAGCTCACGGCCGTGTCGTATCGATTGATTGAACGTTAAGCGATCTACAGGAAAGGTTTTTATTTTTGGGTTTGATCGCGTAAACACAAATGTGTCGTTCACCCGCCTCTACTCGTCACAGCCAATTCGTAAGGTTAGTCGCGGGTTCACGGCACATTTGTGTTTACGCGATTTAGCCCAAACAGAGAGGAAGACCTAAGAGAGGATTGCTTGCCGTCGACATCACAAGAGGTTGGTGCCAGAAAGATGTTGCACTGCTTGAGCACATTGGCACGAGACGGAGGAAAGTGTAAACAAATGACAAAACGTGCAGTGGACACCTGCGGGCAATCTGTCAATGGATGGTGATGATGATGATGATGAACCCGAATAAAACCTTTAGAATGGATAATATTGGTCGCGAAAGCCTACGTGTTCAACTGTTAAGTGATCTGCGTGCGCGCGCCAAACGTTTACAACTTTAAAGCCCTTTTTGCCTTAAAGCGCGACTGTGCGAGTTGTGAATTCTTGACAGGTAAGCCTCCTCGTGTGCTTGACGTGATGGATGATTGAATGCGTACTCAATATACCCAAAGTGCGTGTGCGCACAGCACTTTTATGCACCCCCTTGCCTATAAACGCGCTGCTGTAGCTCAACCACCGCCACCACCCACCCACCCCTCCCTGATAGGGTGCCACTTAAACCATCATCCCTCTAGGTTTGATAAAAAATAAGTACCAATTTATGGGGAGTGAACGGTGATTGTCCCACGCCCTGCTATGGAAATGTGGAATTTTTGTCCGCTGGTTTAGGGCCGTCAACTGAGATGAATGCTGCCGCAGTGCTCATTCGAACAAGGAGATGCACACAGCAGGGAGACACATTTCGGCAAAGTGGCGCACGCGCCACCAACACCTCGAGCCGTGTGTTCGGGAATTACGCTCGGCTTGCACGGTTCACGGTACGATGCGCTCACCGCCGCGCCACCGCTCCGCCGCTTGTGCACAAGGACGATCGTGCCACGACGCGAGCACGGGGAACGGTCCCGTGGCCTGCTGGAGACTTAACGGTGGTTGTGCGCCGCCCGTGCGTCTTTGTGTGTGTTGCAGGGCAAGCGGGCGGCAGCTTCTCCCGCTGGGAGCACGCTCGTGAGCGCTACAAGGTGCGGCAGCATCGCGCCTCCGCCGACTGGACCTACGCAGGTAGAGCGCCAGGCCCGCAGCACGCCGACCCCGAGCTGTGATCGGGACACCTTAACGTCAGCATTTTTCTCGTCACCGGTGCAAACCTATTGTTTTGTATCCGACGGCATTTACGAATGGCCGCTCACAACTTCTAGATATATGCGTTGGCATTCCAGCCTTGCTGAACTTGTTCTGCACAGGTGCGATGCCATTCAGTGGCCCGACCTCCGCCGTTGTCGGAGGTCTTCACGACAACCCAAACTGCAGATGTGGCACGACACAAACAGCGTCACGCATTGTTGACGACTGTCTGCTAAGTTCGGCGGAGGGCTTGGAGATATTCACGTGGCCACCGAGGTTGCTTTCGCGTGGCTCGACAATTACGCACGCGCTGAATGAAAATAGTGCCCCTGTGGCAGGCCACGCATTGCTGATGATGCTTGGTCGATTTAAAGCCTCTCCGAGACTATCTTGCCTCGACGAGTGCTCCTGGGAAAGACGAGATCAGGCATGCGTGTGTGCCGGTGAATTCAAAGTTATTCCTTTTGCAGTGATTTCACAAATATCACTGCCGTACTTATATTATGGTAACAGACCGAAACTACGCAAATTCTAAATCGGAGCAAAAAAAAAGCCTTTTGTCGATTGTGTTGCGATATCAGCCGCGTTGGCTTCCGGCTGCGGCTTGCAGGAATGTGTTTGCTCGGCTGCGATCCTCGTGGATTTTCCGTCCCCCGCGTCTCATTTGCCTCGCGAGGCCGCGCAGGGCGACAGGACAGGTCGACGCGTCAACGGAGACACAACAACAATCACAACAACGCCGAGCAGCGGCAATGCTCCAGAGGACCCGCATGCAAATTGACGAGCGCGCGCGCTGCAGATTCACCCCCTCGCGATTGAATGCTTTGTCGCGATTGAATGCGTTGTCGCGATTGAATGCGTTGTCGCGATTGAATGTTTTGTCGCGATTGAATGCGTTGTCGCAATTGAATGCGTTGTCGCGATTGAATGCGTTGTCGCGATTGAATGCTTTGTCGCGATTGAATGCGTTGTCGCGATTGAATGCGTTGTCGCGATTGAATGCGTTGTCGCGATTGAATGCTTTGTCGCGATTGAATGCGTTGTCGCGATTGAATGCGTTGTCGCGATTCCGGGGGGGGGGGGGGGGCTCACGATTTCAACCTGGAATCGACTCTGGTTTTTTTTAAACATCGCTGTAGATGGCAGTGGTTCGCGTGGCTGCAGAGGTGGGTGTAAGCCCGTTAACATGTGTATGGGTTCATGTAAGGACACCGTAGGGTAATTCATTAATACATTGTGGCTCGGGGGAAGAGTTGTTGGAGTGGGGGTGAGGAGGTGGATTACGATTAGGGGCGGTTTAGGAAGAGAGGAGGTGATTGGTGGAGGAGAAGAGGAGGAGGAGGGGCAGAGAGAGAGAGAGATAACCTTCCAGAATGTTAGAGAAGGAATGGGTTGGGGGTGGGACGGGGGGAGTATAAAAGGAGGGTGCGGTGAGACCACGTGAATCCTCCTCCTGCGAGTGTAGCTGGTGTGGTGTGGCTAGAATGAAGTGCCTTGCGTAAGAGGCGATTCGTGCAGAATAATCCCCTTTCACATACAAGAAATCGAACGCTGGAAAATCTCGGCTCTTACATGTATTGCAAGTTTAAGATGAGATATTTATCGATTCATAAGTGTGGAGACGATGGGGAAAATTTCTCATCCACCCAGCCATAGTAATTTATGACAATCGGGACGAAAATTTTCCGCAGAAATACACGTGCCTATTGTGTTGTGAATTTCCGCACGGGTGTATACGGTGCAGTGCAGTGGCTCTGCAGCATCGATGGGGTGTCTACAATAATGTGACCTGCGTGCCCTCGCTGTGCAAGATTATGTGGGGCTATATTTAGGTCCACCTCCCACTGGGCGAGAGTGAAAAATACAATCGCATCTGAAATAGACCCAGAATTGTATGTCTCCTTTAAATCACTCTCGACGGAGAAAAAAAACCAGCTTCAATTCATCAACGTGAAACTTGATCAATGCTTGGAGTTTGCAAGGGACGAATAATGCAATACAGGACCTCAGGAAAGTTTTATTGTGAAACATGGCAGTATCAACATGTTCAAACTCATGCTTATTTGCATTGCCAGCCCTATGCCAGTGGTGGCAATTCCATGCCTATGACAAGAGCCAATCGTCGCATAGGTCAGCAGCTCTAAACTAAGTTGGACTCTTCTTGTGGAACCTGAAATGGTAATGTGCTGAGTCATGAATTGCACTTCAAATATTTTTCATTATATTCAGGCATGCATTGTACCTGGTCAGTACTTACTAGGTTTCTGTTGAAATTTATAAAAAATAATAATAATGCAGACTATTTAGTAAGGAAAACCTCGCAGATTCTAAAGCCTTTTATTGGGTAGGGTCTTGCATCGGAATGTCTGGCCAGTATCATGAACGAACATTTGGCATGTGAGATCAAACAGAGTAGCCGGGAAAACAAAAACCTTACTCATATGACACAGAGCAACACACACAGATTCGATGCACAGACCCACGCTAGCGGGTGGACCAAATATCTCGGCGGACTGCACACATTGCCATTCTGCCGTCACCTCACACCTCACAGCACACGCAGCCGCAAACGTAACCAGTGCAGCGCCTCTCCATCCACACACCAAGCAGGCCTCGATCGGCTTCACAACCCAGATCCCACGAGATGTAGCCGATTCCGGCTGATTTGCTGATGCAGTTGATATGCAGCGTCTCGACGGCCGCTGTATATTTGGGGGCGCCGCGATGCCGAGATGTTAACTACCTCGCCCGGTATGCAGGAAGTCGTGGGTTCGATCCCGAACCTGATGCCTGTTGTATATTTGGAGTTTGCATGTCTCTCTCCCCGTGGTTGCGTGGATTTTTCTGAATCCTCCCGTGTTTTACTCCACATTTATAAACGTTCGCTTGGAGTATTTGGCTGCTATAAATGTCCACGTGATGAGCCACTTCGTTTAACTATCATTTGTGGCCAGGTGGCTTCTGAAAAAGAAGCAATACAGCTCCGTGGGCCTTACCTGGTAAATAAAAACATAGTAAAACATTTTTTATGAATGTATATTAAAAATCAGAGGTTGTGATGATAATGATGATGGCAGCGACGATGATGGTGACAATGAGTAATGAGAATGAACAACAACAACACGCCTACGGCTGTGTCTGCAGCAAACACGAGGTGTGCGTCTGTAAATTCCATCAAGTGAAGGGAAGCAATTGCTCTTTAAACCCAGGTGGGGTTGTCCGGATAGTGAATGCCTTGGCGCCACCGCACTGGAGTCTTGGGTTATTTGCCGCAGGAAATGTTACCCGTAACAGTGTTGTGTGGTCAATTTGCATCGCGCAAAAATGTGTCAACCAAAAGACGAGGTTTTTTTTTTGTTCAAGGGTCAGAGGGCACCCTGTCTGTGTTGTGTTTTAGGTAAACAACGTAGCCGTGAATATTGCAGAATTTGAAAAAAGAAAGTGTACTGGCATTAGTGATTTTAGAGGACCTTTGATACGACAGCAAACGTTTTCTGATTAATCCTGACTAGTCTAAACATTTTAGTCCATAAATAAAAAGCAACCAAACAAACACAAAATAGTGTGTGTCTTGCCAAGTAAACATTAAATACTTAATTCGAGTCCATAAGCCTGGATACTTTTGTTTTCTAGCAGCATTCGTTCCACAATTTCTCGGCCGGCTTTGACTCATCAGCAGAATCAAGCCCCTGTGAAAGCAATGGGGCTGGGTTTGCAGAGGTTTTTGGTGACAGCGCTCCATGAAAACCATGGGACACACACTCTTTCGTCTGTTCGCCAAATATCTCAAAGGTTTGAGGTGAGATGCACAGAGAGACACTGGCATAGTTCCCACAGGAAACGACAGCCTGCCCACCAGTTAAAAATAACAAATGTTGCCTATCGTTTTACCGCTTCCGTCAAATCAACCCTTTCCCATTCCAACGACGTACGAAAACGTCGTCGGTTTTTTTTCTTTAAAAACGACGGCGCGGTGCCTCTCTGAATCAAGTGAACCTTAAACGTTTGCGCGTTCCGAAATTCAGCGGTGCACGTGGGAACCACCCCTGCAGCTTGCAGACGTCTCTGGATGGGAAAGGGTGAAGTGCCCTTTCCCGTCAGTGCCGCATGTTTCCTCCTAACTCCTTCGCGCTATCGATACATTTCTGACGTGTCCTCCCGAGCGCCTCCTTTCCCCTCGGCCCACCATTCTCCCTTATTGCCTTCCAGCAGACCGCTGTCTCTCCCAATGACGTGCCCCATCCAATCCCATCACCACAATACCGCTATCTTTCATCGTGCATCACTCTTCATCCACCGACTTGAGAACCCCGTCTCTCTCTTGCTGTCCAGCTTATCCCCTCCATTCTCCTCGGGCGGCACCGCGTCGCAAACACTCCGGTTGTACGGAACTCATTGTCACACCATTCCCGGTGGATGGTGGGTTGTGGTGCGTGCCAGCAATGTAGGGCTTTGCAGGTTTGTGGCTCACAAGGAGATCCCATCCTGTATGTCGTGAACTTCTTTCGCGCCGTACTTAGCCAACCGTGCTCATCGGAGGTGCTAATCCTGTAGCACTACGAGGGAGTAAAACAGGTCGGTCACTGACCTTTCTGTAAGGATTTTTTGAGGGTATAACCTACAGTGTTTGTGGTTTGTATGGGTAATTCTTTTACCTTCCATAAGCATAATCAACCATTGACAATATAATAAACTGGCCTATGACCAAATTACCTGGACTGTGCCCAATCTTATCAGACCTTGGAAGCTAAGCTGGGATGAGCCTGGATAGTAATTGGATGGATGACCGCGCGTAAAATTGTCCCACGTGGTGCTATGTTGGTAGCAGACAGTAGTGCATAAACATCTATTGTACTGTCCTGCGTTCCAAGATATACACTCCCCGTCTTTACCAACCAGCACTGACCAGCGGGGTGAAGTATGGTCAAATAACGCCC